TTGTAAGTTTTTTTTTTTTTTTTTTTTTTTTTGTGGTACTGGGGATTGAACTCAGGGCCCTACACTTGCCAGGCAAGCGCTTATTCTACTGAGCCATCTCCCCAGGCCCCCTTCCCCTTTCTGTAGACTTGTTTTCATGCTTCCTGATCAGATGCCCTCACTTTGTTTTCTACTGAGCACTGCTTTAACTTTGGCCCCTAGGTTCTGACATTCAGGGCCCCAGACCACCCTGACGTAGGTGGGGTGAGCGTATCAGGCCTGGCCAGCAGTGCGTAGGGCTCAGCTCTACCAGGGAGCCTGGTGATCATGCCTAGAGGGCTCCTGCATGCAAATCCTAACCGCAGCATGGCAACACTGATCTATGGAGTCACGAGGCTGCCTGCTGGTGGGTGACTACCAAGGACTACATGAGACGACAACAAGGCATGGCCACTGTGCTCACTGACAGGACGCACAGGCGAGATGCTGCATGTCCCGGTCCGCAGGCGGCGGTGCTCATGCTCCCTGATAGGCCTGCTGCACCGTCTGCTCGGGCATGGTGCATGCTGCATACTCAGTCCAGCTCAGAGAGCGGGCACCATCGTGAGCTGCCCTGTGGGTGCCCTCTAGCAGCCCAGAGCTCATTCAGTGCCTTCCAGGCAGGAATAGCAGCCCTCTGTTGGACTTCCATTCATTATCTGTGATTATGGTTTTGGGGGACAGTGGTTGGCAAATGGAGAGCAAGATGTATATTAACTTCCTATTGCTGGAACAGAGGCCCACAAACCTGGGTTAGAGCCTTGAGTGTGTAACCTCCTGGGCCTGGGGCTCCCTGGGTAGAAATCAAGCTGTCCGAAGCAGGGTCTCCTTGAGTTCGGTGGGAGGATCCACTGCCTGCCCTTTTGGCCCTTTTCTGTAGCTAAAGTCACATTTCTGTGCTGGGTGCCAGCTGAGCCCCCAGGCATCCAGCCCCTCCTTCTTCAGAGCCAGTCACTGGAGACAGGTCCTTCTGTTCTTGCCCTCCATCTTTGACCCACTCTGTGGACTTGTGTGATCAGCCTGAGCCCACCTGCACAGCCCAGGACTATTCCCTCATCTCAGGATTCCTGGTCTTATCATATTCATGGAGTTCCCACTGCCATGCACAGTGACAGTCACAAATACCAGGGGCTAGGTGCAGACACTTTTAGGGCCACCACCCTGCCTACTGCAAGTGGGGACAACCTGGCAAGCTTTCAAGGGAACAACTGAGTTTTCTAAACATGGAAGCAAGGTTTCCAGCTACCTTTGACCCAGTTGTAAGTCCAGGGCATCATGTGACCCCACCCCTCCCCATGCTGTGTGACATCCCCACCTGGACAAGCTGGGCTCTGGGGGTGGCCAGCAGGTGCAGGGTGCAGGACAGCTTCCGGAAGAAGCGCTCTCCAGCCACCCCCAGGCCGGCGCTCCTCGCCCATTCCAGGAGCTGCTGCAGGCGGGCACAGGCCTGGACACCTCTGGGCCAATGGAAGCAACTCAGGGATGGGCCTGGGGAGGGGAAGGGGACAGGGAGGGTGACGCCCAGCCCCCTGCACAGGAACCCAGCACTGGACTCCCCAGAACCTACTCTCCCCTTCCCAGCCACTGAGGACAACACAGCTCAAGCACAACTAAGACGCTGTCTCACTTCCCAAGCCCTGTCTGGGGGGGGGGGTGATGGAGACAGCACAGGACAAGGAAGGACTCTGACTTCTATGGGCTCCAATGCCACTGTGCCTGTGCTGGCAACTCGTGTGTGCTGGTGCTTGTCCTGAGTGGATCTCTCTGTTCCCCTAGCAGTGACCCTGGCTGGAAATGACCTGAGCTCCAAGCTCAACAGGTACAGAGGACATTAGCTCCACGAGGCAGGGCCTACAGGCACAGCTTTGCAGCAGCACAGACTTGGTCCCCTCCAGCCACAGGTCCTACCCTAGCCTCAGCCTGCCATCTGGCCATACCTCCACAACCAGCCTCGGCCAAGGCAGAGTGGGCCCGCAGGAGCTGAGCTGGGCACCTCCAACAGGCACACATCCTGACCCATGTGGCCATACTCACCTCTGTCTAGGAGCTGGTTGAGCAGCAGTGTGCCTGAGAAGAAGAAGAGGTAGGCGAGCATCTGGGAGGCCACCTCTGGGTGTACCCGAAGCTGCTGCAGGAGATCCAAGGTGGCCTGGTACACAGCCACAACACGGCGCAGCTCTTCAGGCAGCGCAGGGGCCCCATGCCAGCTCTCCCGGCATTCTGTCTGGAATGGGGGGCACTCCAGGAGGGCAGGGAGGCAGACATACAAGCACTGTGGGACAGAGAGATTCCCAACAACACTTCAGGGGCACTGGGACCAGGCTGAAGGTCTCACCACTAAGCTCCAGCCCTGCCTTGGCAGGACAGCCTGTGAACAGGCCCTGAGGGAGCTGCCTCCCAGGAGGGAGCCCAGGTGGGCACACTAGGCTAAGGTGGGCTGGCTCGGCCTTCATGCAGCACATGTTTCTGACAGGAGCAGTGCCGCATAAAAGTGGCACTGGTGGGATGGGTCCCAACAAGAGGGCTTGACACACTCTATGGAAACCAAGAAAGGGACGCTCCATGTTCCCAAAGCACTGCACTGGCTCAGGACACAGCCAGTATTTCCTGCACCACCATCAAGGTGGCAACGATACCAAGTCCTAGATGTCCCACCCAGGACTTCTCAAAAGAAGGGAAGAGACCAGATGGCACCCAGGTTTCTGCCACGTGAGAAGAGTGGCCTGGGGGAGGGCGGCACAAAGGAGCACACCAGGTCCCTGGAAGAGCCCGCCACACCTTGGAGAGATAGTACACGCACTGCTGGAAGGCGTAGAGCACCACCTCCTCAAGCACCGCCATGGCCTCTTCGCTGGCTGTCAGCGTGCAGGAGAACAGCGACTCCTTGGAACCTGCAAGGGGATGGCCGCCGAGAGTCACAGGGCTTCATGCTCATGGGCTGTCACAAGAGCAGAGACCCAACCCAGCATTTCCCAGCACCCTTGCAGCACTCCGCGCATGCTCGCACATGGGCTCGGGTATCTGACGAGCCAGCCTCAGAACACACAGCACTCACCACCCTGCCCAGGAACAGCAAGGCCGGGCAGTGAGAGAGGACACTCTGACACACATCAGATTTTTCCCTGCCCACCATGCCTGATAGATCAGAGGCCCACATGCTCTATGTGATTCCCCCATAGGCTCCAGATGTGTTATTCCCCTACCAGCTCCACATGCATTTCCTTCAACTGCTACACCTGCCACAGCAAACCCTAACCCTAGCCCACAGGTCCCCTGTCACTGGGGACACAGGTGAAGCACTCCAAGCAGCAATCCTTCAGGAGGCTGTCACCCCAATGGAGCCAAAGCACTCTTTCAAGAAGGACGAAATCCTGGGAGGACCTACGCCCACACCTGTACTGGCCCATTGGAGGCAGCACCTGACCACAGCTGCCCACGGGCATCAGAGCCATGTGCTTCCCCAGGGACAGAAGAGAGCTGGCAGGAAGCAAGCAGAGGGGCCACGGTGTGGGGCAGCCTTGGAGTAGGTTCCCCAGACACCACAAGGGGCTGGATGCCGCACGCAACTACCTGAGCTGCTTTTCCTGTGGGGACCTCTGAAGGATCTGGGGGCCCCCACCCACTGCAGGTCCAGGTGCTAGGCAATGGGCACAGAGGGTGTGTGGGATCCTGAGGGCGTGTGGTGCCATGCGTGCATACCCCCGAGACCAGCATGGTGGGGCCCCTTAAGAGCTCAGACATAAAATCAGGATGACAAAGGTGATTGTGCCAACTCTTGACACATAACATGCCTGATGGCAGGGTTTGTCCCATAGTCATTTCCTGCACAAGTCGGCAGGCCAACTGGTGGCCTCCGACCCCTTTCTGGTCATCAGGTTGGTGTGACTTCTGAGTCAGATCCTGGACTGTGAGGCTCCTGGGTCCAGCTCGAGCACAGCCCAGAGCTCAGGTCCCAGCTCCCAGGCCTGATAGATCAAAAACAACTTCCTCTCTGAGACGGAAGTGACAGTCCCACAATCCTCACAGCAGGGAGAGGGTCCCTGGACCACACCAGGAACCTAAGAAATGGCCTAGGTTGCCACACAGAGGGACCTCTTGAGCTGTGTGAGTGATATAGCTCCAGAGCCAACTGCTGCTGGGAGCCAGAACAGAAAGAACCTCCCTGTCTATAGCCCCCACACCCAGACCCACCACACACACAAGGAGGGCAGCAAAGCCTGCCTCCCAGGGTGCACCCCTCCTCACTGCACAGCTGGGGCAGAACCAGGCCTTAGGGGAGAAAGAAGCAGGAGCTGACTGGGGCAGGGGGCAAGGGCACCTGGACACCAGAACTCTGTGAGCAGTCAGGGAGGTGTCCTTGCTCTGGAGACAGAAGCCGGTTAGAGGTGATGGCTCTCTCTGGCAGTCAAACTGGCTGCTCCTCATGTGTACTTGAGGGAACAAGGGACAGGCCATAGCCTGGAATGCCCCAGGGACACAAACAGAACCAAGCTGGGGTCAAGCTTTCCTTCACACACCCACAGGCCAGGGTTCTGAGTCTCTAGGAGCCCACAGCAGGGCCAACACCCCCACAGTGAGCTAGAAGGCAGGCAAACCTCCCCTGCCACCCCATGTCCACAGCCCGGTACTCCTCCCCACCCCCATGCCCCACCCATGTGGCCTGTGCAGGATGCCCAGCCCATGGTCCCATCTGGTCTCAGCATTCTGAAGCAGAGCAGGAACCTGTCCTGAAGATGGTACCACAGACGCTCCAACCCTCTGGTTGCCAGTCAAGAGCCCTCTCAGGACATTTGGCCACAAGGCACCACAGGGCGCCTCAGGGCCGAGAACCACTGGGTGCAGCCTTCTGGGATCCAGGCTCTCTCTCTCTTTCCCAGAGGACAGAAGCATCTGGGAGACCACAGCCAGGGATGCCTCATAGCCCCTACCCCAGTGGCTCACAGTTGTGAGACAGGCCTGGGCCCCTCAGAAACAGGGCCACTAGGCCACACCTGCTTAACCTCACATAGCACCCAGGCCAGAATGGAGCAGCCAAGAGCCCTGTAGATGGGAGGGCAGTGAGCAACTGTTTCCACCACAGCTGTGTGGGACAATGCCAGGGCCACCCATTTGGAGGCTCTGTCTTGGGACCCCGATGCCTGTCAGAGCACTGGCTTTAATGAAGGTCCCAGCCCTGGCCAGAAACTCCCAGATCGCCTCCAACTCCCCTTGGCTGTCAGGTGACCACCATCAGCTGAAGTCTGCCTGTGCCCACGGCCTGGCCCCATTGCACCCCACAGAGCCACCTTCCCAGGTGTCACAGAACACTTTCCACAGTTTCCTAAATCCTGTATGCACATCTCCCACATGTTAATCTCCGAATATAACTCAATGTACAATTCTCCAATCCTTCCCAAAGCTGTGGTGCTGAGTGTGGCGTCTGGTTTATGATGCGCCCATTTTGCCCTGGCCAAGGGTCCCGTATGTCCCCAGCCTGTGGCAAACAGAACTGAACAGACTCTAGTTGAGGAGGTGTCTCCATGGCAGGGCACTGATGTACTGGGCACAGAGGCACCAGGTGAGTCCATATGCTAGGACTGGTCTCACAGGCTATCCCCTGACTGGTGCCCACGTCCTTCCTGGCACCAAGGAAGCCCCAAGGAAGCCCACCCTCTGTCACAGCTGGCCAACTGTGCCCAAGAACTGCACTTTGCCAGGGAGCACCAGTCAGGCTTGTACCTGTGACATCCAGCTCCTCTTCCATGCTCTGCATGTAGAGCGGGCATTTCTGCTGGATAAAGTACAGGAGCTCGATGGAGTTAGACATCCAGAAAAGAATGTGCTGCAGATCTGGCACTAGGTCAGCCATGGTGAAGCTGGCCCAGGAGATGGGTTCTTGGCTACCAAGACAGAAAGATTCAGTTATGCTTGGCCCCACAAACTGGGGGCTCACTCTGCAGCTCTGTCCTGAGAAAGTTCGTTCCCATGGAATATGGACAAAAACAACTACTGTCACCAGCCACATTAGGCTGGAAGTTAGGAATTATGCACACGAACACTTGGCATCTGCCCACAAGACATCAGATGCTCCAACATGCCCAGCGGGAAGGACAGCCAGTTGCCACAGCCACCAGGAATGGACTCTGGTAAATAAACCACTTCCATAGCTTCTCTTCTGAAATTAAATAATGAAGTAGCTGCAGATGTGAAGGAGAGCATGTGTGGGCATGCACGGAAGGTGAGTAAGGTCCGTGGCTATTATGCCCCCAAAACATGAGTTCAAATGGGCTAAGAAGCTTCTGTGTGTTACTTAGGTGAACCAGAGGAAACACACTAATAGAATTAAGAGGTGCATAATTAGCGAAATCATCCTGTATCAGAGCAGAATCAGAAGGTTGTGAATTTGATGAATCAAGGGGCAGCAACCAAAGCTTGTTCTTTAAAGTTCCAGAGGTGACCATCAGAAAGCCCAGCATGGGCACTGTTAGCCAAAGAAACGAAATCTGCAGGAGAGTTGGGCCAGTCGCCTTCCCAACACAAACCCGCCTGCAGTTTGGATCTTCATCCACAGGGGGCACTGTTACTCCACTTAATAAAACCAACATCTCCCAATCAGAGTGCTACAGATGCTAAGCACCTAGAGCACAGGCCCAAGCAGCTCAGACCCTCCTAGCCAGCCTGGGTGGGGCTCCTTCCCTCCCAGGCCTGCAGCTTCTCTACAAAGGGCTCCTTTTGCAGGGGACATTGACACATTGGGGCTTCTGCCTCCCTCGACTGGCAGCCCTACATCCACCACTACCATCTTGCCTGTGTGTCAGTGTCAGCCCCAGGGTATGGGTATCAATCTCTTACTTCCAGTGACTGTCCTGAATGGGGCCCAGGACATCTGCGCAATGGAGGTGGTAACTCCTCAATTTAAAATGGCAACACATATCTGTGTCATTTTCCCTCATCTCGCCAATACCCCTGGACAGGCTTGGAGGGCCGCGCAGGGGTCCCAGCAGCACACGTGCCACATCTATCCCGGTTACATCCACTGAGCATCCTGAGCAGGTGTGTGCCTCAAGGGAGGAGCAGGCAGCTACACCAGATGAGATACAGACCGGCCTTGGGCAAGGAAGGCACCCTGCTACCTGCTGCATGGCTGGCCCACGATCCTTGGGACTCTGTCCGACTCTAGGGCTTTTTAAGGGGCAGGTAAGGGGCTGAATCACAGGGGGTTTGTGTCCACAGGGGGAAGGCTCTGAATCAGACGGACAGTGTGGACACTTAGGCTAGGGTCCCAGAGCAGCACATCACTAGGACTGTGCGGCTGGTTTGTAAGTGATGAGAGAAGGGCCAGAGTTTTGACTTTCTCCCTCTGTCCCAGATTCTCCTGGGACCAGAGGTGTCACCTGTCCACTCTGACGTAATGTCACTTTTGTCCAAAAACAATGCTGACCTTCTCTGTCCTGGTCCCCAGCAGAGAGAAGCCAGCTTAAGACTGTCTTTGCTGCAGCTACGCAGGCTGTGGAGACTGAGGCTGCCATGCTCTTTCCAAGTCCTTCCCAATAGTCTGGATTACATGCGAGTGCAAAGCACACATGCAGCAGGCATGGAGCTGTGTGTTGTCAGGAAAGGATTAATTTGGCTCTTCAGAGCCAACTCCACTTAGTTTCCAATATTTATCACCCTTCTCAATTTCATCCTGAACTCAAAGGCATACAGAGGCTTCAACTGGAAAATAAACCACCAGGCACTGCCACCTGGAGCTCAGTGTTAAACCAAGTAGGGTCAGCATCCAGCACATGACAGCTGCCAGCCGGCCATGCGCCAGGGGCCCCTGGGTGGACGCCAGGAAACTCAGCCCACCCCACCCAGGCCCATCAGGGGCAAGGGGCAAAAGCAGGCCTAGAGGGAAAGGAACCCACGAAGGCGCAGAGCTGGTCCGATGCAACTGAGCAGGGGAGAGGGGGAGGGAAAAACGAGTGCGGGAAAGATTACCAGGGCAGAACGGTGTCAGCAGAGCCTGGGGTCTGAGGGCGGCAGGAGTGGGGTTTTCTACCCCAGTGTCTGTGTGCCACTTGCTTCTTCACAACAAGCACAGGGTCCTGCCATGGTCCTGTCAGAGGACCACGTGAGGAACAGGAAAGTGTGGCGGTGCTCACCTGCAGGAGAGGCAGGCTGGATGGTGCAAAGGCAGAGGGACAGAGTGAACAGGGGCCTCCTGGAGACATGGAAAGAGGGCAGAGAAGAGACAGAGGCCAGGCATAGCTTGGAGAGACACAGGGCAAGGACAGGGACAGAAGACAGATAGGAGTAGCTCAGGAATACCAGACAGAGGAGGATAATGTCCCCCCCACCCAGTGGCCTTATCAGGACATGGCCAAGAAGAACAGACTTTCTGGGTCCTCCCTCAAGACTCTAGGTGTCAGGCTTAATGGGTAGGGGGTGGAGGACACCAGGCTGCAGAGTTTGGGGAAAAGGCACACAGAGAACAAAGGTAGCAACGCAACACAAGGCCCAGAATGGAGGTGACAGCAAGCAGTGGGCAACACGGCCACTCAACACAGCGAGTGTTGCTTTCTCCTTCCTGAAGCAGAAGACGCAGGCATCTACAGGGGCAAAGGGAACATGCCTGCTAGGCAGGCTGGGTGGACACACCGTGTCAGGGCACAACCCATGGCACAGAGCCTGCATCCGTCATGTGGAGCAATCTCACTGGGACGCCAGTCCTGAGACCTCCGTGAGCCATCTGGTCTTCAGGATTCCTATCCTATGTGCAGGCTACTGTCTGGTTGTGGCTGTTATGTGGTACCCAGCAAGCCCACTGTGTAATCTTCCTGAATTCCAGAATATTCTAAAGCCCAACACATCCAATCTAAAGGCTTGGGATAAAGGATTATAAATCTCTGTGTGTACACACAGGATTTATTATACAAACAGAGCATGACAGTGCACACCTGTAATCCCAGCCCTATAGCAACTTAGCCAGACCTGCTTCAAAAGAAATGAAAAATTTAAAAAGCTGGGCTGTAGCTCAGTTCAGAGGCTATGTATTCAATCCCCCATGTCACCCAAAACATTTTTTGAATATTCGCCACTTTTCTGGAATACTGAACATTAACTACTGGGTGCCGCTGGGGACCGGGACAGGGAGAGCAGCCCTGAAGCCCAAAAGAGGCAGGAAGGCATCATGTGGGGAAACAGAAAGGCAGCTCACAAGGGACTGCTGACCCTCAAGCTTCAAGCTGTCTCTGAATCCCCAGGCTGGAAACACCAGAACCAAGTACTGCCAACAGCCTCTGCCCTCCAGTTGAAGGTTCTGTGCTCTGGGAAGGCGGATAGCGGCATCTGCAAGGAAACAACATAATGTGTGGCCTTGAGTGAGTTGAGTCCACTTGGACCCAAGGTGCCATGAAGCCCAGCATCTTTACTCATGGGTTCTTTGAGGCCACAGGGCCTCCTGCTTACCCACTGGATGTATAGGAGAGAGACAGCCAAAGCCACCTGCAGGCACACTGAGCCTTGGTCTGCCGGCCACAGGGAACCTCACAGAGCAAGGGCAAGGAGCAGGCCCCAGAAGCCAGGCCCAGGCTCGGAGCGGCAGGACAGCAATCAAAGCACTCCCACATGCCCCAGCACATGGCTGGTCACTGCAGACAGCCACATATGTGGCAACCACCCCATGGGGGTGCAGAGACGTGGCACAGAACTGTCACCCCAAACACTAAAGCCATGAAGAGACAAGACATGAGGCCACTCAGCCATCATAGTTCAAATTTCTCTTAGTTCACTGAAAAGAAAGAGTTGTGTTAGTACTGTCTGGACAATGAAACCCTGCCATCTTGTACTCTGAGTAGCTAACTTAAAGCCAACAGGCAATATATTAACCACTGTTACTCTATCATCTTGTTTTGAAATTTGGGTTTTTTTTCTCTTTTAAAAAAACTGAAAAGATAAAAGATGTAAAACATGATTGAAAAAACCCCCAATTACTTAAAAAGAAGAAAGAACTGGTTAAATTAAAAGAAACCAAAGAGAAAACCCAGATTCTTTCTCTTTCTTTTTTTAAATTTTATTTTAGGGAAGGGTCTACAGAGTATTCAGGGTCTCACTACCAGATCGGACTCATAGTAATCCGCCTGTTTACAGCCTCCCAAGAGAGCTGGATTACAGGTGCGCGCCACCACGCCCAGCCTCAGCGTGCCCCTGTGCTGGACCAGCACAGCAAGCCTGGGGATTGAATCCTGGCCCCTGCACCTGCTTGCAGGTGCTTTAATCTGCTGAGCTATTTGGCTGGCCCTCCCAGATTCTTCTTTAGAAGGGTCTCACTATATAAAGTTCAGGTTGGTCTTGAACTCATTTTGTACCCCAGGTTACCCAGGTTTGTCTCAAATTCACAATGATCCTCCTGCCTCAGCCTCTCGAGTGCTGGGATTACAGGCATGGGCCACCACATCCAGGGAAACTCTAGACTTTTACAAAGCAAAACTGCTGGGCAGGGAGATAGTTCGGTGGTCTAAGCGCCTGCCTGGCAAGCGTTCAATCCCCAGTACCACATGCTGAGCCAGCCCTAGAACCCCAGGCGTGCTGTACTGGCCCAGAAACCCGGCGTGGTGGTGCACACCTGTAATCCAGTACTGGGGGGACTAAGACAGGAGGATCACTACAAGTCTGAGCTGCGTAGTGAGACCCTGTACCAATAAATAATAATAAACATTTAAATAGGTAAACAGCAAAATTACCAAAATTTAAAGCTGCGGTTTATGGCCAAGGGGAAAATTAGTGAGCTGAGCAGCCAGGAGAAATCTCAAGAGGATGCTGCAGACATAAAATAAGTGAGAGCAGCAAGGCAGTGTGAAGCACCCCCTGAGAAGGCGGGAACAGAGCGGTCCAGTGAGAGGCTGTGAAGACAGTG